GTGGTTCCTGATAATAATAAAAGGTAACGCTTTAGATTACAGCCCGGAAAGTACTGTGTAATTAAAGCGATTTTACAGTGTAACTTTCGGTAATATTATAGTGTACCTATAAAGTACTTACATGTAAATATAAGGGAACAATATGTAAAGTTTGGGAAATAAAGGGGTAACAACCAGGAGAATTAAAAAATAATTTATACTGTAAGTATTATAACTAAGGGGAACTTATTCTACTATTATGATACAACAATCTTACATTTGGGAGCAATTTAGCAAGAACATACAATGCGTGCCTTTTTGTAATAATGGTGTACCAATACATAGTGTATAGGCTTTTAAAAAATTATAGGGTACAAATCTATGCATTTACACAGTAATCTTTTTAACAAAAGTGCACTGACAACTAAAACTATTGCAACTTTTGCTTAAATATTGGGGAAAGATACTCTTGTTTCATTAGTGGTGCTTGTTACCCTTTTGTTTCATGTAGTTACAGGGTAAGTATAATAAAAATAAATACACAATCTTATATCATTGACTCGGAAACCTTTATTTGAAAAACAACTTAATTCAGAACACTTATAATGCAAGCTCATGTGTTCCTAAAAGGTGGAGCATCAAACAGCACATACTGCAATAACTGTAGTAATCCATACGACCCCAATGGATGGATCAATGTATTCTGAAAGGAAACGATAAGTGTTTGTAAGAAAAATTACAATATTTTAAACTTTTTAAACTGTAGACTATCTCTTCAGACTAACTGTAATAAGTTGTTTTTCAAATAAAGGTTTCTGAGTCAGTGATATAAGATTGTGTGTATGTATTTTTATTGTACTTACCCTGTAACTACATAAAACAAGAGGGTAACAAGCACCACTTACCCTGTTACTACATGGAACAAAAGTATATTTCCCAGTATTTAAAAAAAATGCAATAGTTTTAGCTTTACTTTTCCCTTGAAACATGTAAGCCCAAACTTAAACATCTGCACTTTTGCTATAAAAACAAACAAACAAAAAAACAACTGTTTAAATAGATAGATTTGTACCCTGTAATTTTAAAAAAGCCTATACAATATGTATTGGTACACCATTATTACAAAAAGGTACGTATGTTCTCGCTAAATTTCTCCCAAATGTAAGATTGTTGTATCATAATAGTAGAATAAGTACCCCTTAGTTATATACAGTATAAATCATTTTTTAGTTCTCCTGGTTGTTACCCCTTTATTCCCCAAACTTTACATATTGTACCCTTACACTTACATGTAAGTACTTTATAGGTACACTATAATTACCAAAAGTTACACTGTAAATTCGTCTTACAGTTTTTTTATTCGCTTTGGTACTATTTTCATTAATAAGGTGTACATTTTCAAAACTCTTGGTGCTAATATCACAACAGATCATCAAAAGTGCACTTTTTTCAAACATTTCATCATGTTTTCAATTGTGTTAGTACAATTCACAAAATCACAAAGTATCCTTTTCACAACACAAAATAAGTATTTCATCTAAATTATTGTTTCATTCATAGTAACTGCCTTTCATAAAGCTTTTACTATCAAACTTTTGATTTGCATCTCTTTTTGTTCAGTTTAATACAGTTGTCTATTATTTAATCCAACTGATCTTAATGGTTAATCAATGAATCATTTGGTAAACCTATAGATTTTCATTTCAGCAATATACAGTATATGGAATTTTGAGAACTACAGAAATAAAATGTGCGTTTGTACGAACATATAAATTATGTGTAACCACACATGATGAATACTCGTTATTGCTAATTGATTTCCCATAGTGGTAACCACAATTGGTTACTATATATAAAAGTGCGGGTGTAAACACTGGCCATTTCTTTCAACATGGAGCAGGATAGACAGCAATGAATAGGAAGAGCTCATGGACAAGGGATCCGTCAGAGAGGTGGGCATGGGCACCAACAGAGGTCAGAGAGGTGGGCATGGGCACCAACAGAGGTCAGAGAGGTGGGCATGGGCACCAACAGAGGTCAGAGAGGTGGGCATGGGGCCCGTCAAAGGGTTGGTCATCAGAGAGAGGGAGGCAGAACTGTTGTCTAATGAAGTCCGGGCCATCATCGTTGATCATGTGGTGAACAGAGGCCTTACTATGGCAGAGGCTGCCAGATTAGTTGATCCAAATCTAAAAAGATCAACTGTCAATTCTATGTTCAACTAAGGGCTGAGTATGTTCAGGTACAGCACTATATATTGTATTACTGTTACTATTTGATGCATCACTTACGTCATATGTATATTGGAACAACACTGTTAAAAGAACTAACCAAAATATATTTTTTAGAGGGTTATGGTGCTTTACGGAACATCATCGGCCAACGGGCCACAGTCCAAGTGCCTGGACAACGTGGAGGAAACATCTCCATGTGCGCAGCTATCTCTGAAGATTGTGTCGTAGGACATTACTTGGCTTCTATAATGCTGCACATCCTATTGAGTTTCTCAATTACAGTAAATTGAGCCGGCCTGTCAAGGTGAAGGGGTCACCTATGTAATTGTGTGGGACAATGTCAGGTTCCACCAATCAGAGGTAGTTCAAGCATGGTTTCAGGCCCATCCCCGATTCATGACCCTCTACCTGCCTCCATACTCTCCTTTCCTCAACCCTATTGAGGAATTTCTTTCAGCATGGAGGTGGAAGGTCTATGATCGCCAAAACCCCTGGAGCGTGCCACCCTCCTTCAGGCCATGGATGATGCATGTGATGACATCAGTGTACTGTAGACCAATGTCAAGCATGGATTCGTCACGCCAAAAGGTTTTTTCCAAGGTGCATGAACAATGATAACATTCATTGTGATGTGGACGAGAATCTATGGCCAAATGCTCAAGACAGGCTTGATCCAAATTACAGTAATGTAATAAGTGCACTAAATGTTATCGTTTTGTTCTTATTTAGTTACATTTCATTATAGAAAGTATAGGCCTACCTTATATCTGAAAAATAAAAACTAATTTGCCCAAATTATTGTAGAGGATGTCTTCATTGATCCTTCACTTGATTACACATATGATGGATATTTTGGAAATTATAGATTATGTAAATGTTGGGTAATGTAAGTGTATTGCCTTATGTGAAAACTGTGTAATCTGTCTTTTATAGCTACTGTAGCATATTCATTTCAGCACTTCTAAGGCTGATTTGAAACATGTATCTTGCATTGTTTGCTGTTGTATGAACTGATTGTTAAAAGTACTAAACTGAAAGAAGATCATACTGTTGTGTTTCGGTGATTAAACCAAATGTTCTCATTACATATTACAACAATCTTGTGTTTGAAACAATGATTATGTGGACTGAAAACATGTGCAACTGACTGAAAGCATGACATCAGGTTTTGAAAGAATGACTAGCTGCGTTACAAGTGTGATCAGTTTGGATTTTTGTACTAAGAGTTTTGAAAATGTACACCTTACATATGAAAATAGTACCAAAGCGAATAAAAAAACTGTAATTACGCGTACTTTCCAAGCAGTAATCTAAAGCGTTACATAATAAAATATTAATATTATTATTTTAAGAATTATAAAGTAATAATAAAAAAAACGATCTTCTTTATTTATTTATTTAAAATATTGCGATAGTATGACATGAGTGTATTATTACACCCCTAATTATCAATATAACCATTGTGGTGGTGGCAAACCAAATTCAATCACTGAATAATAGACAAACATTTCCAATAGTCTTTGATGAGGTTTATTTTCTTGCAGTCCCACAGAGTGTCTGCAGAGTTTGACAGTGAGGGGAGGGCATCCTTCCTCTTTTATAGTTTTGACTACGAGAATGTTATCTTTCTAGGCCAATGATGGTATTTTCAACCATACGTGGAACATTCTTAGACTTGTTCATCATATTTTATCCTTGAATGGAGGCCCTCCTGTCAAGTACCAACACTCTTTACCATTCCAATACAATTCCATATTAGAATAAGGTTTGTGTGTGCTCGTATACTGTCATGATGGTCACACACATCTTAAAGATAAAAAAAATTCCACACCATGATGTAGATGTAATAAAAACTAAATAAAAAATGTAAATAAAAGAAACATTTATAAATGATAATTACACAATATAATGATTAAAAAATTATGGGGAAAAAAACTCAAAACAAAGCAAATGGATGGGAGACCGGTTCATGAAGGTTCACCATATCTCTTGTTAACAGAGCAGAAAGACAGTCAAAGTTAAACCTCTTGCTCTGGAGATCTCGCTCCATCTGCATCTCCCAGATGACATGACTAGAGAGAGAAAAAGAGTGTGTCTGTGTGCCTTACATACGGTGCGGTCTTCCTTAAGGGAGTGGTCTGCGTGATTAATGATTAGGACAATTCGGAGTTGGCTCCGTACTCTCCGGTGAGCTGTGTGGGATGGCGGTGGAAGCTAATGCACATCCCCCTCTCCCTCAGCTTGTTAAGTACAGTAAGGATTTAATCGAAAAATTGCTTTCGTCTCAAATAATTATGTAAACGAAGCAAAGGAGGGCCATGGGAATTGTCTTTCTCTCTTTTTTCCCCTCCCTCTCTCATTTTGTGTCTCTACTTCCTTCTAAAAGCATGTGTAAATTAAAGTCAGTTCCCTTGATGAATAGCAGTAATTTGAAGGGGAGCGTGTGAACATATGTAATGCTTGATAAGACGATATGCAAAGGAGTACAACGTACATGCTGACTGTCACAGCAAACACAGGAGGCTCAGGGGCAAGTGTTTTCTGGTGATTACCTAGTTGCCACTGCCTACATTTAAATGTAAGTGCAATGTAACTTTTCACACAAACAGCAGAAGCTGTGATGTTCAGAGGCTGTGAATGTTAACAGCAATATTCAGATATGATTGCAAATGGCAGAGTTTGCAAATGTTACTCTTGAGAATTCATTCCATTTTCTGTTTTATCTTCCCTGAAACATGTGCATGTATTTTTAGCATAAAAAAATCTCTAAAAGGAAAGAGGATTTACCTGTATACAACGATATATAAGCTGATTCAATGACATCATACTTCACCCCAGGAAGGAAAGGTCTCCACTGCAAGAGAGAGACGGACAAAGAAGTGTAAAGGAGAGAAAAGTCTGCTGGGGCAAATTCACAAATCAGTTGTGACACTTTCAGGATTTCAGGGCAGGATTTCAGTTTGCCTTATTCCAGGGCGCTTTATTCCACCTAACCACCTGGAATTCAGTTTGGGATGCTAATAATAAAATGAATAACTTTTAAAATTAAAAATGTTCATAAAATTAATAATTCACGAACCACCTCCAATCCAGATTATCAGATGCCAAAAATAAAATAAATTGAACTAATCATTTTGTAATATTTCAAAATGATAATTTTAATTATTCACTAACCACCTGCAATCAAGTTTTATAAAAAATAAATGTAATTAATAAAATCTATAAATGTTTAACTTTAAAATTCTAGTGAGAAATCATTCTTCTTCTTCTTTTTTTTTTTTGGTAGCAGTTATTCATCAAATAATGATTAAAACTGGGCATATGTTGATTCATGGTGCCTCGATAGCAGGATACTGGCAGGTGATGTTGTACAGTTCCAATAATGCGTTACATTTTTTTTTTTTTTTTTGGTGTCCTGGCCAAATTTTCCCCTTGGCCTCTGTCCATCATGGCCTCCTAATCATCCCCATATACTGATTGGCTTCATCTCTGTCTCCTCTCCACCAGTAAGCTGCTGTGTGGTGGGCGTTCTGGCGCAATATGGCTGCCGTCGCATCATCCAGGTGGATGCTGCACATTGGTGGTGGTTGAGGAGATCCCCCTTCCATATGTGAAGCGCTTTGAGGTCCCAGAAAAAGCGCTATATAAATGTAACAAATTATTACAATAAAGTATGGTCTGAAATAGTATCATGCAAAGGCCAGATTTACATTATATGGTTCAAGTGACCCAATTCCGATTTTTTTTCCTCCCATGTGGCACAGATCGGATATGACCCAAAAACGTCTAAGCAGGAAAATACGTGCATTTGCAAAGATACATGCATTTGCGTCTGCCATGAAGTGGACAGATCAGATATTCCCGTCAATGCGAGTCATACGCCATTGAAAAAGCGATGGTGGCGAATAACGTCAATTCAGGTGGACACCATCCGTGATCACATGTCTCTTTTCAATGCAGGCTGCAACAAGGGCACTCCTCTCTTTCTCCGCTTTAAGAGACCAATGTTTTGCTGACCTCTGAAGATGGTGCAGAAAGCTAAAGCTTGTATTGTCATTTAGTCTGCGTCCATTGCAAATCACAAATCACTTTTCGGCCTAAGCTTTACCGGGTCAGTACGTCTAACTTGGCTTGTTTCTTGTATAGTGTATTATGTATGCCAAGTGTAAAGTGTAAATGCAGATATCGGATATGGGTCAGTTTTAAAAGTCTATGTAAGCTGGATATAGTCAACAAACTCAGAATTGGGCATCAGAACCTGCAGTGAAAATGCGGGCATTTTGTGTTTAGCACTTTTTACCATATTTGTGGCATTTACATAATTCATTTAGTGAATCGAGAGCTTAAACAATGCAGACAGCGAAGGCAAAGCAGGCACAATTTTTTTTTTGAGAATCCCCCTCCACCCTCACTGTCTTTCTGCTTTCACCCTCACAATGCTCTGGGACGACACTGGCTCTCGAAATAGATGGGATACAGACACATAGCAATTTTTCTAAAGAGGCTCTACAATTACAACATCACTTCTCGGCCACTCTTACACACAAGGTCAATTTAGCAATCACATAACAAAAAACTCTTATCACACTGATCTTTGAATCACACTCCTCCACTCTTTCATTCACACACCAATGCCACACTACACAACAGCTTTCAGCATTTCAGACTGTACAGTTGAACAAAGTAGGGGGAAGAGATACAGAGAGAAAAAGAGAACAAAGAGAAGAGAAAATATGAGAGAAATTCATTTGAATTTAGAGCGGTTTGATGTCGACATTGCTTATAGTTTGACAGTTCCAGGCCCAGAAAATGGTACATAACAGAGAAGCAGTGTCTATCAAACTCACTGTCTTTGCATACTAATTGTCACAAGCACACACTGAAAAGATGAGCATTTAGAAAGATTATTTGACTCAATTATGAATTCGCTGATTTATTTGACAGTCAAGGAATCTTGAGAAAGACTCCAGTTAAGTGCCAGAATCAAACATGTAATAGACATACCCTTACTTTTAACACACTGATGAGAGTTAGTTTTGGACAACACAACATAAACATCCACACACCTGAATCAGTTTTCTTCAGTGTTTAGTATTCACCCTGTTGTTCTGCACAGCCTGTGTTTCTCAAGGTCAGATTTGCCTTTCGGGAATCGATGGAGTGCAGTTACAGCACAATGTCAGATCTGAGAAGTCACAGATGCCTGTTTGCCCCCAGTGACATAATACACACACACGCACATACACAAATAAATCCATGCAAACAATCATGCACGTTCCCACACCAACAAATACACACCTACTGTAAGCAGTATTACCTACACACTGATCAAGGACTAGATAGGCAGCCAACACATACTGTCCTTTATCACTGTCAATATAACTAAAACCATTTGTCAAAATTAGTTAACTACATTAGTTAACCTGAACTAACAATGAAAAACACTTCTAAAGCATTTATTTTTCTTGGTTCGTGTTCATTTCAACATGTACGAATATACATTACTAAAATCAAAAGCTTTATCTGTAAATATTATTCAATGGACCTGAGCTATCATTAACTAAAAATGAACAATTGTATTATTATTAACTAACGTTAACAAAGGTTAATAAATACAGTACACAAATAACTGTATTCAGTCAAGGACAGTCTCAAAGCATTGCAATCCCTATAGAAAACAACATGTAGCTTGCATAATGTTGCACATATTGCATCATCTACAGATTTATTTCTCCTTTGTATTGACGATGAATACAATTGAGCCCATTCACTGTTGACTGGCAGCACCATCCATAATAGCTCCTCCTGCAAATGTCATATTGGATAGTTTCTGGTCAGACTACATCAGACAGGCTTTATTAGATCTCTTTGTCCTTACAAAGCCTGGGATTCAGTTAAAATGCTAATCAGCCTCAGAATAACTCTAAAGCAACCATGAAAAGTTTAAGCACATACACACATCACAGAGGTTATCCTACCTTTTCTGATTTAATAGCTGAAACTGAGGGGAAAGGGGAATCTTAAAAGTTGCAGTGAGCCTAAAAACATAGAACATCTAAAGCATCTCCAGTCAACTCGACAGTCTAGCCCACTGCACTTTTGTTAATAAATGAATTTCTGTGTTTGCCACAGATAATTAGCTGTTTTTGCTTTTTGGTGTCTGGTCCCTGTTGACTCTCTGAGAATACCTCCAAGTTCAATGAATTTATTCATTGGGCTCCTCTCATGTCTTTGAACATCCTATTCTCCAGCACTCTGCAGTGAACATTAAATAAGATGTGAAACACGGATGCGTCATCTTGGGTCTTCTTTGCCCCCAGGCACTGAAAGTTGTGCAGTGCGGATTTGGGTGATTTTTTTAAAAAAATTCTTTATAAGTGATACAAAGTTGTGCAGGAGTGAAAAGCTTTTTTATGGTCACATTAGCGTTGTGAGTAGATAAGTGAGTTAAAGATTAAAACAAATGTATCTAAGACTAGCAGGAAAGACATAGCAATTCAGCAGACAGACATTGAGCAGAAGTGAAAAATAGACAATGATACCCAATCCTTTCTTTCCAATTAACAGCTCCACTATCTGTACTCTGTGCTGATTGTCCAGTCAATTGTGTGGAATAAAAGGGTCAAACCAACTGAATGTAATTCACTGTCCTGTATTATTACTCAGTTGTCTAGTTTGTTCTTTTGTTTGACTGACATTAGATGAAGTTCTACATTCTTATTAATAATGTATCAACATATTATATAATAAAGCAACAAAGTGATCTATTCTAGATGTCATGAATTATGTTTACAAACGAGGCTGCTATTCTAAGAAGCATCATCAGATTCAGAGATGAGAAATATTTATGAACCTGAAACATTTATGAATTCACTTTTGTTCTTTAGCCATAACTGATTATACAATGTTAGATATATTCATTCTGCAGATGCTTTTGTCCAAAGTGATTTAAAATTGAGGAATACTACAAAAAATGCATTGCATCCTATGAAGACAGCAACATGAGAAGTATGGAATGCCAATAACTTAATAATAAATAAATAAATATACAAAGAAATGTAAAAACAAAACAAAAAATAAGTGAGTATTTATACTTTTATTTCCTTATTTATTTATAATTGTATTTTTTTCCACATTTATTTATTTATATGTTTCTTCCTCTGTAAGCTAATGAGGGTCCGCTTCTGGACGTCCCACATCTGCAGTGCGAAGATGGATTTTGTTGAAACTAATTTCATTTTACTGGTAACAGCCATATAGTAGTGCATATAAATATATATATATATATATATATATATATATATATATAGAGAGAGAGAGAGAGAGAGAGAGAGAGAGAGAGAGAGAGATGATGCATCTATTTAATGAAGCTTTTAAAAAATGCCCCTGGAAATCAATTTATAGCAGAAATATCACCTCTTTATGGAAAAGATTGTTCTTATTGCTGTCAACATTGTTTTTGGAAGATACATTACAAATGCAGTTAGCTTCAGTGTACGTATCTACAATGCATAGCATGAGATGTGTGTCTCACTAGCTGCGCTTACATGATGCTACTTTTGTTTGATTTAAACCCGAATAATTTCAATTGATGATTTAGCCTAAGAGGTGTGATTAATCAGTATCTAAGAGCAGCATCTTTGGAATATGCGTTATATTTTTAAGCATTTGAATTGTCACATGTTGCGCATGTAAAATTAGGAAATGTGAACTGAATTTGCAGTCGCGTTTCAAATGCATTGATCAATATTCTTGCGTAGACTTCAGTGAAATGTGCGCTGGTTTCTCTCCTCATTCTGAGCTGGTGTGCGAGTCTCACCGACAATAAAAATAAGCTCTTATCAGCCTCATCCAGCACATTTACATGAAATGTGATTAATAGTGGATCATTTCACGCGCTTCCGTGTCAAAGTGTCTGTTATCAGCGGCTTCTGTTCATGTGTGCCAAGACATTTTAGAAATCCCGACCGGCTGATGTTTTACGGCCATGTCCGGAATAAAGAGTAGCCCTATGTATGGTAAACCTATATACAGTTAGGGTGATATTCAAGGACATAAACCGTGATATAAAATTTTGGCCATATTGCCAATCTTTAAGTCATTATTTCCCTGCGTAACCTGTACAGGCACGTCCACAAACCTCTTACGTTTGGTTTGTTCAAACCACGAGGTGTCACTGTGGCCTCAAATCTTGAGCACTGCCACTCTGAGCTCGATTGCTATGTCTGGGGTAAAATATGCCCCCCTCATTAGCATAAAGAGGAAGAAATATAGAAATAAATAAATGTAGAAATAAATAAATGTAGACATAAATACATATATACATAAATAAATTTGAAAATAAGTGGAAATAAAAAATGCATAAATAAATAAATGAAAAAAAATCCAATTATACAAAAAAGTATAAATACTCATTTATTCTTGCTTTGTTTTTAATTTTTTCGTATATTTATGTATTTTCGTTTTTTTACATTTCTTTGTATATTTATTTATTTATTAAGTCAGGATTGGCATTCCATAGAGAAGTGCTGTTATACAAAGCTCCATAATTGACCAGAAAAATACAAGCTAGTACAGAAATATAGGTGAGACCCATGACCCTGTGAAACAACAGAAAGAGAATGTTACAGTTAAGTAAGTGCATTAAGAGTAGAGACAGAAGAGATAGAAAAGGACGGGTAGAAAAGGTCTCAGCTGTTCTGATGGAGTTGGTAAGATTGATATATGCCCTGACAGGTTCGCTGAAGACCAAACACGCCACTGCTTTCTGAATAATTTGCAGTTGTTTGATTGTGGATACAGGATGGCCACCTAAAAGAACACGGCAGTAGTCTAGTATAGAGATGTTTAAGCAGCATGCTTAGATAAGAATGGTCCAATTTTACTGAAAATTCTATGTGCTTGGATGATACTCTAGGTTCAGAAATGTGTGTATCTAGACGAGGAGGGAGCCAAGCACTGAACCCTGAGGTACCCCGTGGTAGCTGACTTTCCTGCTATTTTGTTAATCATATTTAACACAAAGCTGAGTTTAGTTCAGGAAAAATACATATATAATAAAAAATGTGGAATATTAAAGGTGATAAATAGTTAAACAAATTAAATAATGTTAAATAACAATGTTAACTTACATTTATTTATTTATTTATTTGAGGGACAAGTGGGAACAATCAACATGCGCCACACTACAACATTTATAACCAAGGCTAATTTGCAATGTCCGTCCCCAGATGGGCTTTTCACACAAGTACATACAGAAAGTACAAAAAAATACATTTACATTTACAGGACACTACTTAATTCTGACATTACATAAAGAAATGTGCATTTGAACGCAAACTATCAATGATTGCATACTTGATCTCTTTTTAAAATACGCTTTAGTTCATTTTTAAAAGCCCCCAGATCTAAGTCCTGTTTCAGCTCGATGGGCAAGGAGTTCCAGAGCTTAGCACCCTGGACAGTAAAAGCCGATTGTCCAAAGGTCTTTTTTCTAACGGGCACTTTCACGTTTCCATTAGCAGCTCCTCGTGTGATGGAGCCCACTGATCGAAGTGGGACTATGTGACGTCTAAGAACATCAGGGGCTTGTTTGTGCAAACATTTATACATTAATTTCAAGTTACAAAATTTAATAACATTTTTCAAAATTAAAACAGTTCAACCTCTGCAATACTCCACAATGGTGTGTTCTAACAGATGTTGTATCCAATATTTTTAAAGCTCTGTTGTAAATCAATCTTAAAGGCCTGACTGTTGTGTCTGTTGCCTGTGACCAGGAGGTTATAAAATAACTCCTGGTCACAGGCAACAGACACAACAATCAGGCCTTTAAGATTGATTCTGAACATAAATAACAACATTTAAATGGAAGGGAGAGAGAGAGAGAGAGAGAGAGAGAGAGAGAGAGAGAGAGAGAGAGAGAGAGAGAGAGAGAGAGAGAGAGAGAGAGAGAGAGAGAGAGAGAGAAAGAGACGGAGGGAGCAACAACATCTGTTATCAAAGGGGCTTGAATGGAAATGTATTAAATTATGTATTAAAAATATATTAATTTTATACAAAGTATGTTTTTACTCAGGGGGTTCTATTCATACTCAAGTTTGCCCATCTCAAGCAGGAAGAACACAAAATGATCTAATCTATTTTAATCTATTTGTTTTCTATTCCATTATCAGCTCTCTCTCTCTCTCTCTCTCTCTCTCTCTCTCTCTCTCTCTCTCTCTCTCTCTCTCTCTCTCTCTCTCTCTCTCTCTCTCTCTCTCTCTCTCTCTCTCTCTCTATTTGTCTTCTACTTTCTATCTTCTCCTGTATAATAAGATTATTGAGATGCGCTGGCTAAACTCCGCATCCTTTGGGTGCAGTCTGGAAAAAGTCAGGCTATCAAAGAGGCTGTTATGCTACTCAAGGATATTGTAATGGTCAGAGACGCATATAAATGTTTAAATGGGTAATGAGTTACAAAAGTAGTGGGCTGATAGATGCTGTTTTGCTGTGAATATAAACACAATTTTTATTATTTTTTAACAAAATTTTACATGGTTAACATTGCAGCAATAATTCTGACCCGGCCATTACCAAGAACATGAATGTGTTTTGCAGTATTAAGTGACGCGAGCCTTGGAAAATGTTTCCTTGACTAATTTGCCATGTTTCTCATCTTCTCTATTATTCAGCTTTAAATAACACAGTAACTAAAGGAGGAGGAGAGAATAGGATAAGACCATAGAAGCATAAGGGCACATAAAAGCTTTAATGGTAAGAAAAGATACGAAAAGGTAGCAAGATGTCCTGGATAAAACAAAATCAATAAAAAGGTTTTTATATACAATTTCTACACACTATCACATAGTAGGTTTCATTGACACTTTCTCTTAAGTTTTATTGAGGACACTTCAACATCTACAGTAAAGGACCAGAATTTTCCAACTTTCCAATTTTCTCTGTACTTACCCCCACCTCCACATGGTCTGACCCTCTGTCATCTTGCTTGTGCAAAACCTCAAAGTAGTATCGACGCGAGGAAATAAGACTGTAGAGAGAGAGAGAGAGAGAGAGAGAGAGAGAGAGAGGAGGGAAAAGGAGGATAATTAAAGTGAGAGAAAGAGAGGGCAGGGGACACTCTCAGAGAGGTATGGAGAGAGACCAGATGAGGAAAGGAAAAAAAAAAATTGGCCGATGTAAAGATGAAAAAAAAAAATCACAAAGCACCATAGGCACTGGAGGATGTGTACAATGTTAGTGACAGAATCACTAAGGTGCCTTATCTCCTCAAAGAAGCACTACGATCTTGTTCAACTACTAGAAAAACATTAGGTTCTAACTCAGGTTCTCTGAGAACAGAGCAAGGTATCTCACTATGGGAAACGCACCCAGGCATGATAGACTATGGAAGCACCACCAATTACAACACGTCTGTCTGAAGGACGGACCAATCACAGCTTATGACAAGGAGCCCACCCCCTCCCTATATATACAGCTGTTGGGAATAGATCTAAATACTTTAAAAACTTCTCACGATTCGTTTATCTCGATAGCTGTAATAGTAAAAACGTATAATAGCTGTAGTAAAAGTATTCGAAGGAGTTTCACATGTAATACGTAGCTATTTCATATGCAAGCATGTCAGCCAATCACAGCAGTGGCCGGTTACACTGAATGCCACAGCAGACACGCCCCTTCAAACAGTACGTTCAAATCAGAGGCTAAAAGCAGGCTAGGAAAAATGTCTTTTATTTCTAAATTATGACTATTTTTGATCTAACAAACAAACTAACATTATAAGGGCAACCCAGGAAATATTCTAAAATAATAAAATAACCCCATGTCAGGGGACCTTTAACATAAACACTCTCCAGAGGTTCAAACAGGGCCCGAGTTGAAGCATTCAAAACCGTGGACAAGTCCCATGATGGGACCAGTCGCTTCGACACTGGTCTCAAACGCTTCACTCCCTTCATAAAACAGCATATAAGCCTTCCGCAAGCAGCTGCTGGTCGAAAATCGGAGTAAACTCAGGGGCCAAAGAAAGATCCCACAGGGTAGAGGGTTGGGCCCCCTTTGCCAAAGGAGGGACAGAAGAGAGAACAGGATCGTTTTTAGAAGATGCAGCCACCCGAAGCCTTCTTTCCAAGATCCTGGCTGGCATTACACGACAGTGCACGCAACTCTCCGCATCCACCAGCGCGGCCTGAGCATGCATGCGATACACATCGGATGTGGATCCCTGCGCGAATCCACATCCTGCCGGACCAGAGTGCGAAGGGGCATCCTTCCCTTTCTCCACGGCGACCTTGGACACCGACATGGTGAGTCAGATAATCCTGTAACCTTAGCTCGCCATAACGCGTTAGCTAGGATAGGATACACTGCTAATGAAAGCGAAGCAGTAACAGTAACGAGCAGAGAATCCACAACAGATTTTACTGCACTGCGTTCGGCAACGTCAACCTTGACGGTACGTTTGTGAACTGAATGCAGCGCGGCCTAGGTGCTGAAGGAAAGTCTTCACGGGGGAGAGAACAAGAATGCATTTTCGGGGATCACAGGTATATATATATAGCGAGGAGGTGGGCTCCTTGTCATGAGCTGTGATTGGTCCATCCTTCGGACAGTCATGGTGTAATTGGTGTTTCCACAGTCTCGATTGTTTGAAAGAGAACTATATTAGCAGTGAAGTAATCTCTTAGCCATTTATGCTAGCCAGTGAAATTTCATTTGATTTTGAAACAAGATAGTCCTGGTGAAAAGGAAGTGTGCTTAATTGTATTAATGTCCACCTGTAGTGTACTTCAAATCTTAAAATTACTGTATATTTAAAAAAAAAACTGCAGATACTATATTATTACTGAAGTAAAAGTACACTTAAGTGTAAAGACTATGTTTCTCAACACACTTAATTACACGTTTAAAAACAACACTTTCTAATAATGTCAAATTAAATGTTTTACTTTAATAATACATTTTAAATCATTATGTTTTAAAGGGGTCCTATTATGCTTTTTTACATTTGCAACTTTTTTTATTGTGCAATGTTGCTGTTTGAGGATGAAAAAGTTCTGCAAAGTTACAAAGCACAAAGTCCTCTCCAAAGAGAGTTATTCTCTACATCAGTGTTCAGTTTTCTTCCGGGAACGTACACTTCACAATATTGTGTGTTGTAGCAATGTCCAAGAGACAATGTTATCACAATATACTGTACATCTTGTGACACAAGGTTTTTATTGTGTGGGACTACTTTCTTCCACCACAAATTTAAATCTCAAGTTAACATTTCAAGAGTCAAGCCCAATCCTCTGTTCCAATTCAAAAACGTCTATTTAGAACTAGCAACAACAGCTTGGACTGCATCATTGAAGTTATTAGTGTATAGTATTACTGAGTAGAGAGAGAAATAGAGATAGAGCATGTGATTACCTGTGTCTGATATAGCTGATGAAAGCTGATGTTTAGAAAGAAAATCTCCATTTGGAGATATTTAAAGAATCTCCATATAGGACCTTTTTTTTTTTTTTTTTTTTTTTTTTTTTTTGTAGTTCATCACAGAGGAAAAGTTATCATTTATAGAATACAATTGATGAAAACAAGGAGGCTGGTGAAAGCTCAAACTGAACAAAATATTGAAAAAAGCATGGGTGGACAGACCCATGTCTGTCCTGTTCTGTTACTGCAGCCCTTTAAAATTGACTTCTGTCAGTTAGTACCTTTCTCATAACAAGCATCATGTATGACAAAACACTGAGAAACGCTGAGAAATCCTGCATACCATACATTCTTCTAATGGACCACTTTTTAAAAAAAATAACACAAAAACATTACCAACATAAATAATAACCTAAATAATATAAAACAACTCTGACTGTATCAAATTAAGCAAAAAGGACAGAGAAGCTGTGCCATATGCCATCCAAAGTCAAATAAAATTCAAAGAAGCACCTTCCTCAGAAATGCAGCTGGAGGCTCTTTCCTACCTAAGTAGTCTTTTCCATCAAACCTCAAAGAGAATAAAATTGTATGACAAAAAAAGAGATTTCTAATGTCAGCTGCAAGGAGGTTTTTATTTAATGTTGACAATGGGATGAAAACACTTGTGTGTGTATCTCTTGTACAGGTCATTCTCAAAAAATTAGCATATTGTGATAAAGTTCATTATTTTCCATAATGTAATGATAAAAATTAAACTTTCATATATTTTAGATTCATTGCACACCAACTGAAATATTTCAGGTCTTTTATTGTTTTAATACAGATGATTTTGGCATACAGCTCATGAAAACCCAAAAATCCTGTCTAAAAAAATTAGCATATTTCATCCGACTAATAAAATAAGTGTTTTTAATAGAAAAAAAAAAAGTAAACCTTCAAATAATTATGTTCAGTTATGCACTCAATAGTCAATACTTGGTCGGGAGTCCTTTTGCAGAAATGACTGCTTCAATGCGGCCTGGCATGGAGGCAATCAGCCTGTGGCACTGCTGAGGTGTTATGGAGGCCCAGGATGCTTCGATAGCGGCCTTAAGCTCATCCAGAGTGTTGGGTCTTGCGTCTCTCAACTTTCTCTTCACAATATCCCACAGATTCTCTATGGGGTTCAGGTCAGGAGAGTTGGCAGGCCAATTGAGCACAGTAATACCATGGTCAGTAAACCATTTACCAGTGGTTTTGGCACTGTGAGCAGGTGCCAGGTCGTGCTGAAAAATGAAATCTTCATCTCCATAAAGCTTTTCAGCAGATGGAAGCATGAAGTGCTCCAAAATCTCCTGATAGCTAGCTGCATTGACCCTGCGCCCTTGATAAAACACAGTGCACCAACACCAGCAGCTGACATGGCACCCCAGATCACTGACTGTGGGTACTTGACACTGGACTTCAGGCATTTTGGCATTTCCTTCTCCCCAGTCTTCCTCCAGACTCTGGCACCTTGATTTCTGAATGACATGCAAAACTGAGCAACAGTCCAGTGCTGCTTCTCTGGTCAGGCGCTTCTGCCGCTGTTTCTGGTTCAAAAGTGGCTTGACCTGGGGAATGCGGCACCTGTAGCCCATTTCCTGCACACGCCTGTGCACGGTGGCTCTGGATGTTTCTACTCCAGACTCAGTCCACTGCTTCCGCAGGTCCCCCAAGGTCTGGAATCGGTCCTTCTCCACAATCTTCCTCAGGGTCCGGTCACCTCTTCTCGTTGTGCAGCGTTTTTTGCCACACTTTTTCCTTCCCACAGACTTCCCACTGAGGTGCCTTGATACAGCACTCTGGGAACAGCCTATTTGTTCAGAAATTTCTTTCTGTTTTGCCCTCTTGCTTGAGGGTGTCAATGATGGCCTTCTGGACAGCAGTCAGGTCGGCAGTCTTACCCATGATTGCGGTTTTGAGTAATGAAACAGGCTGGGAGTTTTTAAAAGCCTCAGGAATCTTTTGCAGGTGTTTAGAGTTAATTAGTTGATTCAGATGATTAGGTTAATCAGATGATTAGGATAAAGCTCATTTAGAGACCCTTTTCATGATATGCTAATTTTTTGAGACAGGAATTTTGGGTTTTCATGAGCTGTATGCCAAAATCATCAGTATTAAAACAATAAAATACCTGAAATATTTCAGTTGGTGTGCAATGAATCTAAAATATATGAAAGTTTAATTTTTATCATTACATTATGGAAAATAATTAACTTTATCACAATATGCTAATTTTTTGAGAAGGACCTGTATATAAGATAACACTTGTATCTCAGACCACAGGATTTGGATTTCTGTTTGAAAGATTTTAATTTTTAGAAAAGACAAAAGTCACAAACAGACAGACATGTGAATAGCAGTACGTTCAGATGAAGAGGTTATGTTATGGCACAATTATTCTTCAGATGTTCTGCTGGAGTTGCTTTGATTAAATCAGCCAAGTGCAATGCATCTTACTGTGACAGCATGAGAATGTGGTGAAGAAGGTTCTTAATTGTATACTTAATTGTATTGAATGTTCACTTGTAGTGTACTTCAAATCTTTTAGTCACAATGAAATCAAAATGGACAATTAATATTTTT